GAAAACATATTTTGTCTTACAGATCCAATTTTCTTTGCTCAAAATTCTTAGTTTGGATACAAAGGCTGCATGATATCAGGCATGTGGTAGGATTCAGAATTTTGGTTTTCCTCAGAAATGTCATCCAATTTGCATATAATTCATTTGATCACTCCCCACAATCGATTGCAAATTCACTATTTGACAAATCAGAAAACCTTCCAAACGCAAATTAGGTGGTATGAAAATGGACTTGGAAACAGATGCATACATTCATTCTAAAGTTTCTTCATTCGGGGTTCCTTCAGTTCTGTGTGTCTCCTGGAGAAATCAACCTGATTATGAAATTGAATGTGAATTTCTCTCTCTAGTTTCTTGTGGTAGTGCCCAAATGCCAGAGAGTGCATAGGAAGTTAGACTGATGACTGCAAAATCATCTCTGTGATACGCAGTGAAAAAGTCCCATTGAATCTTCTTTTTTTAAATAGTCTTCCAGACTTCTTGAAAAATTCATTCCCCAAATCCTTGATGTATCCGAAGCTTTTAAAAGACCATCCTTCATCATAGACACAACACCCTCCGATTCTCAGATAAAACTGCAGCATATGCTTTCATTTACGAAATGACGTAAGTGTCTATACGTGGCAGCAGGCTCACATTAAGTTTATAAATTGGAACTTGTGTCCCCCGCCACACCCAACTTACTATTGCTTTTAAATTTGCAGAAGGAAGGCAGACTTAAAAAACTATAAAGTATAAGAATCACCAAAAACAGAAAAGAAAAATCAAGGAAAGCTTCATGATATTTGGAAACGTGAACACTATTGCATCTATCTATCCACCAGCCACCTGAGCTTTGCTGGCACTGCCGAGGACATGGGGCTGCTCACCATAAGGTTGGGACTTCCAACCTGCCAGACACTCCAGGGGAGAAAGTTGTGACCACCGTGTGAAGATGCTAGTCTTGGAATCCTTATGGGACAGTTCTCTCTGGCCTATAGGGTTGCTATAAATCAGAAATCTACTCAACTGGTATAGTTTAAAGTAACCTGCATCATTTATAACAACAAAATCGGAAAAATTAAGTGATATTTGATATAGTAACCTGATCAGTATGCACTTTTCCCTAACAAAATATTAACACAATTTCCCTTTATATCCTATAAACACTTAAGGATATATTTTATTTCTTAAAAAAACTGCCTGATATTATGTACGATAGATACTCAATATTAATTACCCATGACCTTATTGAAGGAGTGCTGTTTATACCCTAGAAATTACTACACTGAACAGCACTATAAATCAAATTTGCACAGATGTATCTCTAGAATATGTTCTTTAAAATTCCATTGCTGCATCAGGTGATAAATTCATTTTTAATTCTGACTCATATGGCCAAATGTCCTTCCAAAAAGTTGTATGAATTTATACTCTCATTAACAATTTAACAAGAACATCTATTTCCCAAGATTTCCGTAATATGAAAAAATTTTTTACTTTGTATCTTTGCAAATTCAAAAAGTGAAAAATGTAATCACGTTGTAGATCAGTGTATTTGAAAACGATATTTGATTGCGGTTTAGTTTGTCTCTCTTTATTCCTTATTTTTCATTAAATACAATATGCGGTTGTACTCACTTTCCCCTTTGGTTGCTTACAATTTCTTTTTTTTTTTTTCTTTCAAAAAACTGTTAATTAAGAAAACAAATTCTCTGTTATATTTGTTGCAGAAATCAATTTATTGTTAAACTTTTGAATTGGCTTATGGCATTTTTGTTAAAAATTTTAACTTTGTGAGTTGAAGTTAATAAATATTCTATGCTTTCTTGCAGCTTGTTTATAAAGCATCCTCACAATTGCAGTTATAAAAGCAAAGTTCTCTGCTTTTTTTTTTTTAACTTGATGTTTTGATCCATCAGAAGCACTTTGAACATAAGGACACCTGTTGTCAATGAGTCGAATTCAACCTATAGTGACCTTACAGGACAGAGCAAAGTGTCTCAAGGTGGGTGGGTTTGAACCACCAACCTTTCAGCTAGCAGCTGAGCACTTAACAACAGCCTATGCCTCCTGTGCCTCCTGGGTTTCGCTGTGATATTCTTTAGACCTTTTACAATTTGTAATAATCTGCTCCCACCCGCAATGCTCACTGCCATTGAGTTGATGCTGACTCAGCATGACCCTGTGGGACTGGGTAGAACCACCTCTCTGAGTTTTCTGAGGCTGTTTTCGGGATTGTAAAGCAACCCTTTTTCTGAGTATCTACGACCCATCTTTCTTCCGCAGCGTGGCTGCCACCCCATGTGTAATCACTACGCCATCAGGGTTCCTTACAATTTATCATTTATCAAAATCTCTACAGTGTTCCTACCGATCTCTGGATTATCTTTCATTCCATTTTTTGCAGCCTGCCTATTAATGTGCCTGATCAAATGCTAATGATTGTTGTGGCTCTGTAATATTTTTAAGTACACTAAAGCCTACTCTCATTTTTCTAAGTTTTTGAAAACTTCTAGTAATTCTTTCATGGGCCTTTATCATAAAATATTTAGAATCCGTTGTATAGCTATTAAAAATTAAATCCTACTTATATCATTTTGGAGATTTTGCTAAAGTTATAGATTCAGAATTATTGGTACTTATAATACTAAGGCTTCTTACAAAAGAGTTAATAGAATATATTTCTATTTATTAAATGATTTATTTATTTATAGCTCTCGTAGAATCTTTCAAAAACCTTTCATCACATAGTTATTTCCTATTTCTTAAGTGTATTCTTTTTTTTTAAGATTTCCTTTTTTATTTATTTTATTATTATTTTTAATCGTTTTATTTGGTGTACATACAATTCTTATCACAATCCATACATACATCAATTGTGTAAAGCACATTTGTACATTCATTGCCCTCATCATTCTCAAAACATTTCCTCTCCACTTAAGTCCCCCGCGTTAGGTCCTAATTTTTTCCCCTTGCTCCCTGCTCCCCCCTCCCTCATGAGCCCTTGATAATTTATTGATTATTATTTTGTCATTTCTTGCCCTGTCCGAGGTCTCCCTTAACCCACTTTTCTGTTGTCCGTCCCCCAGGGGGGAGGTCACATGTAGATCCTTGTAATTGGTTCCCCCTTTCCAACCCACCCTCCCTCTACCCTCCCAGTATCGCCACTCTCACCACTGGTCCTGAAGGGATCATCCGCCCTGGATTCCCTGTGTTTCCAGTTCCTATCTGTACCAGTGTACATCCTCTGGTCTAGCCAGACTTGCAAGGTAGAATTGGGATCATGATAGTGGGAGGGGGTGGGGGGAGGAAGCATTTAGGAACTAGAGGAAAGTTGTATTTTTCATCATTACTATATCGCACCCTGACTGGTTAAGTTTATTCTTAAGAATTTATGCTTCTATTCCATATAGGTTAACTTCTTTTTCAATTCTATTTTTCTGCCAGTTATCTAGTGACTTTTGTATGATTGTGATTTATTTCTAATTGGATTCAGACTCATGTATGGCTTTTTTTAATGTTAACATTAGGTATTAAATCTGATTACAAATGAATGAATTTGAAATTTGCTTCCTTATTTCAAATTTCTCATTTCCCTTGTCTGATTGCACCAACTCCAAGAAACAGTAGTGATGAATTCACGGTGCCTTTGACATTTTGCCTGGGGGTGGTAGTGGTTATGCACAGGGCTGCAATCTGCAAGGTCCACAGTTCGAAACCACCAGTTGCTCTGTGGAGGAAAGATGGAGGTTTTGAAAGTTCTACCCTATCCTATATGGTCCCTGTGAGTCGACATCAATTCGATGGCAATGAGTTCAGGGTTTTGTTCATTTGTTTTCTGCCATTCAGAAAAGTTAAGTCTTTATGTTAGAAAATATATGTGCTTCCTTTCAGAAACTCCAAGTTTCATTTATTGAAATGAGAGACCTTTTTCATTCCCTCAATGCTAAAGACAGAATCTACATTTTCTGCTAGTATTTTGTTTTTCATTTTTACACCTAAATCTTTAATCCATCTAGATTTTATTTTTATATACTGCATGAGATAGAAATCAAATTTTAATTTTTTGCACATGGATGGCAAAATTTCCCATCATTTGTGAAACCGCTCAGCCTTTCCTTGCTAGTTTGAAATGCAAATTTAATTATATTCTACATAGATCAGTTTTTATTTTTTAATCCATGCTTAAAAAATAAAAATGAAATTAATTATAGTAGAAAACAAAGACTTGAAATACAGACCAAAAAAGAGAGGATACAGTTATGCACCAACTATTTAATAATACATTCATAGATAATAAAATACAAAGTCCATTCATTCGAAATAGTATAAATATAAATAATTCAGAGAACATTTTCTTATACAATATTTGGTCTGAACAGCCATAAAAAAATAAGTTCTCAGCAGTTGATTATCCAAACATTGTTTAGCATTAACTAGCATCAAAAGAGAAGTTATTTGAAGACTCAGAGGTGTAAACATTCTCCAGCTGCCTGCTTTAACCCCCAATCAGAGAAGTCCAAGAGCAGAACAGAGTATCCACTCAGTGAAAACCAGGGCCTGAAGTTGTAAGAAAAGAAATCCTTTCTCATAACTCAAGTTCATTTGTTTTTTTCTATGACTGTGCATGGTGTTTCAGCATTTCACTTTCTTAGGTTTGGAATCAAACCAAGGTAGATAGAGGTTTGCTCTTCTGAATTCTATCCCTCTTTTAACTGAACAGTTGGTGAGCAGTCATTCCGATGAAATGTCAGGGATGAGTCAATGTTCAACTCTGTAACCTGGTAGAAAGTCCCAAAGCATGTGCATCTACTGCCAAAATGTTGGAACATTATTATTCAATAACACCATAATAACTTACAAGAGTGAGTCCTGATGTTTCTGGGTCATGTTTGTGCGATCTTATAAGGCCTAGTGTGCTGCTATAGGTTAGTGGAACTATGAAAGGCCAATGAGTAAAATAGTCTAATCATTCTCATTTGGAAGATGAGAAAGAAAATTATTAGCCAATGAAAATAGTATTTTCTTAGGTCATTAATTCTCAAAAAAAAAAAATAGCAAGAATAATTAAATGCAAAGGTAATGTACTATCTTCCCATATGATCATACAGAGTGGCAAAAAAACAAAAACAAAAAGTACAGTACAATTCAGTTGCAAACCTCAACTTTCATTTGTACAAATAGTAGCACAGTTGTGGCAACTGAACTTTAGAGTTGGTCCAAAGGTGAGGACGGGGAATGGAGTGTTATGTGCCATTGGTGGTGGGGGGTGGAAGGGTCCAGAGGGAAGGTCTACATCGTGTTAGACATAATCAAAAACACTTCTCTTGATGGAAATGAAATGTAAGCAAGTCCACAGGCAGCGATCCTGTGGGAAGCGAGCGGTGCTTGAGCCACTACAGAGCAAATGCTTGGATGTCCTCAAGCATTGCGAGGTTTAGTAAAAATTTTAAATTTTCATCGAGGCTCTTGCGGACACAACTTGGGCTTAGGAGCTTTCGAAATCAATGAAATGACTTTTTCTGCTAGAAAAAGCAGCAATCCAAGAGGAGTGGGAGAACTCGCGTTTCGGTTAACAAATGCTACCCTAGGCAGATGTTCCCGGAGAGCTTGCCGAGCCGGTTTCTATTTCTGCCACCATTAATTGCCAAGGTGGTCCTGGATACTTTTTGACGAAGTGACTCGGGATGGGCTTGCTAGTTCCCCGGCCTCCGGAAGAGTGCTAATTACAAAACACATTACTTAAACACTAGAAATCCATTCATGAAGCTGAGCCAAGTCTCAGATATGAAACATTTAAAAATATCCTTGCAACAGCCTTACTACTTTAGACTTCATCTATTTTTAGAGGTTCCATGTTTGTTTTATGGAAAGGGAAAAAAATTAAAACATGAAAGTGTGCCATGCGGCAATCGGCAATAATAAACAGCACATACATGTTGTAGAAGAAAACATTCAACATCAAGCAGTTGACGTGAAAACAGATTCTGCGGAGGAATTTGTATAAATAGCAATATGATTTTGCTGTCGATGCTAAGCATTTTAAATAACATGCCCTTAAAAGTTGTCAAATTCCTTACTGTATATACATATCGTTTCATGACTTGAACATTCACAAACGTATTTTGAAAAAAAATTTTTAAATGTATTCCTTCACATATAATTGTACAATCATTCAGTATCCTGTTTACATTAACAAACAAGGAAGAACATAGAAACATATACTAGAGACCCTGGAGAAACTGTCCATTGAAATGTACGCATGTCTCTGCATAAAAACAGAAGTTGTCTATCATACTTTTCATCAACCATTTTAAATCTATATCAGATCATATAAAGATTTATAGAAAAAAATTGCACCAATTGTTTGTCAATAGGCTAGACAATATAAGGCCAAATATGCCTTATCTTTAATGTTCCCTTTGAATTTTTAAGATTAAGGACATAAAAGGAACTCCAGAAGAATAGTTGTGGAACTGCTGTCTCATAGAATTACTGCTGGAGAGCAGGGTGAAATTTCAGGCTACATCTTTAAAAGCAAAAATCACTTTTTAAAAGTGCTGAATCACTTCCATCTGGAAAGTGCAGAAGGGTATAAAGGGATGGCGTAGGGATTTAAACACAGGAAAATGAAGTCTTGGTACAGGGAACTAAAGCAAATCCTTGTGCTGGACAATTTTGAGGTCCGCCCCCTGCTCGTCACTAATCAAGGGCAGTTAGCCATGGGGAGGGCGGATGCAGCCCTCTATCGCCCCCATGTTCCCTGAGACCAAAGGCCGTTTGCAGTAGAGGCAGTTCAGAGGAGCGACAGCTTATTCCCTTACTGGTGGCAGATACCCAGAAACTATGGTAACCCTTCAAAGACCTAGACACCTCTACTGATTGCTTCAGTCATTGTCTCCATCAACCCACAATCAACCTGTTAATACTGATCCTGGTAAAACAGGGTCAAGAGAAATTCTGACAAGGACCACAAATCCTGTTTGGATTGGAAATTGTGATTTTTTGCTAGCAGTTTGGCAGGATGTTGTGCTTTGTGACCAGAAAGTGTATAACCAAAGGGGCTTGCTGTGAATTCTGTAGTGTTCCAGCCAGAAGCAACACAAATTCTGCAAGATCATATGCACCATGACAGAATATCGCATGAGCCCCAATGACTTTGCCGGAAGGACCTGGGCAGCGATGGACCGCGACCTCTATGATGTGCAAAGTGAAGAGAGGCTTTGATGCGGCACCCAGCTCACAGGGAGGAAATGGTCGGAAAGGCACTGTCCCCTGCATGTTTTTCTGCACTCACTGGATGTACATTCCTTGATGGCAGAGGGACGTGGCAGAAAAGATCAGATGAGTTAGTCTGATAGGGAGCCAACGTTCAAAGTTTCTGTGTTTTCAGGCAACAGCCATTGTTTGTCAGCATTAGCTCTTTGAGGGCACGACCCTGTAACCCTGGTCTTACCCTTTCCAACAATTTGAGATGGACAGATCACTTAGCTGTTGGACAACTAATGCATCTGCTGCAAGCACATACACATTGTAGTGATAGGCGCTCATCAAAGTTCCTGCCAGTTGAAAAAAGAAAATGCCTTGGCTTTGGTTTAAGATCATGTCTTGATTTGTTGCATGTAGTCCTTTTGAAAATAATGATAGGCCAAAGTGTTTTGTTTTGCTTTGTAAAAGGATGGGCACCGAAATCCTATCTGTAAGATGAAGTAGAAGTCAAAGGTTGTAGCAGGCTTGTCATGGGGAGTAAGTAACTACAGGGTGGGGACGCAGTCTTCAGAGGTGCCTGGGGAGGCCTGCAGAGGGATGGCTGAGTCCTCCTTAGAACCCATACCCCAGTTCCTGGGTCCAAGGCCACTCCCGGCTGGTTGGCCAGAGCCATTGTCCTCTCCTTTCTGTCCTCCCGACCGGTTTTGCAAGGAAGCCCGGACACCCAAGGCCAGCACCAGCAGGCGGTAGAGTTGTAGCACTACTACCAGGAAATTCTTCACTGCGAAGAACACCAGCATCTGGTTGATCACTTTAAAATAGATCATCAGGAGAAGACGGACGACAAGGAAAGGCCCATCTTGTATGAAGACGCTGATTCCAATGTTCCACAGGTCAGCACTGTACTGGCAAAAGAACAGGCTGGGGAATCCTCTGGCAGTCACAGACGAGGGGCACATGACATGCTGCACTGAAAAAGGCAAAGGACAGACCAGTTAAAGTGTCTCCAGGAAAGACAGACCTATAGGATGAGACGATGGAGGCACGCCATTAGCAATGGCTGCTATGCTTGTAAAGGATGACACATGAGGGTTCTGTAACTCCGGGGTGGACGAGATGAAACCAGCCTGCTGTTTAACGTGCTAGAGCACTTTATATTGAAAATGAGTCATCTGTCATTATTCCAATAAACCACACCAAAAAGAGTCCGTTCTCCAGTTTCCATTAAGTTGTTCAGAGCACTCCTTAGTTCTCACACAAAACACAATTAAATAGACCGAAGAGACAGTTGGGGCTCCAGTGTAGCGAGGCAGGCAGGCTTAACCCCAGGAAGCTGGCTGCCATTTCTGACTCCTCCAGCTGCTACTAGTGAGAGGTGGCCGGCCAAGCTCCTCAAGCCCGCTGGGCCTCAGTTTCCTCCATCCTAAACTAGCATACTGACAGTATTTGTGAAGAGGAGAACAGTTACTCATGGACTCATTCTGTACTCAGGGAACTATCCTGGTTCGACTAGTGCCCCCAAATTCATATCAGCTCAGACCTCAGAATGTGGTCTTATTTGGAAGTCGGGTCTTTGCATATGTAATTAGTTCACAAAAGGTCAGAGGGTGGACCTTAGGTCTATTTTCACTGGTGTACCTTTAAGTAGAAGACACACAGAAATACAGACATACAGAATGAAGGCCATACGAATAAAGATCCACAAAATAGAGTGACACACTGCAAACCCAGAAATACCAAAGAGTGCTGACAGCGTCCAGAACTTGGGAAGTGGCCTGAAAGGATTCTGTTCTACACCATTTAGCATGCATGTGGCCATGCCACTGCCTTGATTTCAGACAGTTCGTCTTCTGAACTGGGAAAGAACATAAACATCTCTTGTTTTAAGCCACTCTACTTGCGGTACTTTGTTAAGTCAGTTCTAGGAAACTACAGGCATGTGTCGCCTAATGTCCTTGATAAGACATGTGAAATGGGATGTTACATGATTCGATGTGTGTGAACGTCATATACTCTGTTTCCCAGAAAGGAACACATCCCCAGAAAATAAGACCCACTTACAGTTTTGCCTCTCGCTGAAATATAAGGCATCCCCTTGAAAATAAGCGCCCCCACAAGCTACCATAACTCTGGACCCTGGACCATACTGGCGGGTGCCGCCGCGCAGCTCACGGTTGGCCACAGTGCAGCCAGAGCAGACAGGAAGTGTGAGGTCTCTTTTAATAAAACAATAAACAATAAATGTGTACCGTATTCTTCTTCATGGAAAAATAAGACATCCCCTAAAAATAAGACCTAGCGCATCTTTGGGAGCAAAAATTATTATAAGACACTGTCTTATTTTCGGGGAAACAGGGTAGTAATCTGCTCCAGCTTTGTCTTTAAGCATGTTGGACAAGCTCTGTGACTTAGCAGTGGGTACCAACTTACTGAGAAGGATTTGCTTTTGTGTTTGCTCCTCAAGCCACATCACTAGCAAATATATTGTATCTGATATAGGTCTTTCTAGCATTGTCATTAGCCTTGTACCTTGTGGTGCAGTGGACCCGTTAGTAGATTGGATACATTTTTCTTGGTTTTCGAGGATTAGCATGATTTTTAAGTGTAACATGCAATGGCATTCACTGATTTTTTTTTCTGTCTTTGTGTTTTTTAATAACCTTTTGTTTCACTGGCAGACAATGCTTTCGGTTGGCCTCTGGCTCCTGCTATCACTAGCAGTGGTTTCGCAGCCTGGGGGGTTATGATGTGCTTTCCGGGAATGTTTCTGAATGAAAATGTAACAGAAATAACACACTTTGGGAACACACGATAGATGAAATTGGATGCTGTAGTGTATAAGCCAAATTATACATTGTTTTATGGTAAACATTTCAGGTACAAAGTATGATACAGTACATACATCAGACAGTAACATAGCCATTGATTGTGACTTACAAGCCTAATGCATTGTGTTATGTAGTTCCTGTACCAATCACTTTATCTACAAGAGACATGAGATACAATTGTGCTGTATGAGGAAAGCTATTGGAATAGCTATGTCCTGTGCTCCAATCCAACTTTCTGAACTCTACTCTAGCGCTGTATGACCCTGGTCCTGTCATCAGTGCTGCCTGAGAGATGTTGTGGCACCTGACTGTAACTCAGGGCTGCATTAGAATTAGATTAGCACTCCTGGTTTCTCTCCGCTTTCTCACCTGATCTTTCCCTGGCTGATAATGTTTGGGAGACCAAACAGGGGATCCATGGCTCAGTGCGTCTGGGCCCTTTCTTTTAGAGTTTACTAATGTATTCCTTTATTTGGCCATGGGTGTTCATTGTGATGGGAAAATCCAAGTGCTTAGATTCAAGTACAAACTTAATTCATGTAAAACATATTTTTCTAATGGTGGGAAAGAAAGTCCAAATAAATGCCACTGTTGTTTTATTTTGTTCTAATTTATGGCTTTGTTTCACAGTTTAGAGGAAGAGACTGGATATAATTACTCATCTTCTAGCTGAAGATAAAGGTCCTATTAACAGATGAACCTTTTTGTTTTAATTTCAAAAATATAAATTTAATTCAGGGTCAAGGGTGGGAAATAATTATTTTATAACACAGAAACCTTCCATTTGGAGTGTTTCGTCAACTTGATATGGGTGAACAGAATGTGCTGTTTGCTGGCAAACACTATTGTGATTTAGTTAGAAGTAACATTTGGTCTTTGCTTTTCAAACAGCTGCATAACGTTATCACTCCTGAAAGTTTACAAAATTTCCTTCTTAAATAAAAATTTTCTTAGCAAGGTTATAAACCACAAAATAAAGGAGGAGGGTAAGGATTACCAGAGTGAATGCAAAAAGAAAAAAACCAATATGAGATCAATAACAGCCTTTCTTAAGAAGTTAGGGTTGGAAAATGGCTCTCATGGGGCCCTCCCTCAGGTGTTACTAAACATCTAAAGTAACGGAGCCTAAGATTTTCTCAGTTGACCTGCGGGACACAAGTCCGTGTGTGAGAGAGTATGTGTATGTGCTTATGTGTGCTTGTGTATTATTGTCATACATAATTGGTGGAAAAAGTTTGAAAAAGTGAATGCTGGGATCTAAAATTCCCTCTGAGCTGTCTGGGCATGTTAAAGCAAAATAAAAAGACACCAAAAGGGGGGAAAAAATTAAATAGCACTATCCTAAAGTTCAATTCTAATCTTAAGGCCATAAGAGTAGGGTGCAATGAAAACCAATTCTGGTCTGTGGAAAATGTAATTCTTAAATCCTAGAATTCTTTCAGGGTACGGTGGCATCTAGGAGAATTCCAAATCGAATTGCTAAAGTCATAAAAGTTATAAGATAATGCCCGATTGGTGTTGTTCAACAGAAATTTCTGTGATGATAAAAATGTTCTATTGCTGTGGTGTCCAGTAGAGTAGCCATATGCAACAACTGAGGGCTTAAATGTGTCTAGAGAGTGAGACTGGAAAAAATGAGCTTTTGATTTTAGTCCATTTAAGTTAATTTATATTCCACGAGCTACATGAGGTTGATAACTATTAGACATCACCCCTTTAGGGCATCACTAATATGAAACATCTGGCCACATCTTATTTTTTCTGTCTCTATCAAAGTAAGATCTCATAAGCCTGAAACTGCTCTTATTCCCTCTGAGGCTCTGATATAAGAGGTCTGATAGAGGAATTTAAAAATGACCTTTTAAAAATATGAAGAGCTGACACTTGCCTGCTACTATGCTTTACTAATTACATCTTATTTAGTCATTACAAGAATCCTAACGCTATGATCATCATGCCCAATTGAGGGGTGACAAAACAGAGGATCAGACGTATTCACTAATTTACAGGTTTGACAAATCATAATTGATGAGATAACAGTTTAATTTGGGTCTAAAACTGTGCTCTTTGATCTACTTTGTTACCACCCCATGTCCAAGAATGAATCAACAAATGAATTTCCTAAATTTTAATCTACTTCTCTTCCAAAGTGACCTGGAATTAAGGTGTCTAACGACCCTCTCAATTGTCCCCTTTCCTTCAGTACAACTGACCACCAAGAATTGAAATCTTCTCTTTGCTCCAGTGGACATCAAGGCACTTACCTGCGAGGTCAAGTGGAAACTGCAGCATGCTCCAAGTCCATATAGCAAGGATGGCATAGACTAGTGCAGGATTATTCCTGCAATGCAGACACAATGTTTCATTAATAACAGACACTAAAGTCCTATGCAAAAAGAGAAATCTCCTAAACTCATGTTGTCTTGGTCATGTAAGAAATTCATGATCAATCCATGAATGATCATGATGGAATAATTCAATGAAGCAGGAGGAGGAGAAGAAGGAGAAGAAGAAGAAAGTTGAGCTAGCCCAACTTCCAAGCTTGCAGTTTTGGCCGAGTTTATGGCAAGGCCTCTGGGTCCATTTTGCAATCTCTGTTTTAAAAACCATGGAAACCTTAGGAGAGTGACAGGCTAGGAGAAACGTTAGACACTGATGGTATTTCGAGAAATTTGGGGGGCAGGAGAGAGATAATTGTTTTAAGACGTTAGTGGAAAAGCAATTTCCAGAGGGCTAGAGAATTCTCAAAAATTAAAAGCTCAGCATGTACTATGAAATTGTCATTAGGTAGAGGGAAAGGTGGGAGGCATTTCCGTGACCTCGACGAAGGCAAGGCAAGGGCTGTGACTCGTTTGTTGTTCATCCAGCTATCTCCAGTGCTGAGAACAACGCCGGCCATCAATAAGAGGCGCTCCACATACCTTTGTGGAAGGAATGTTGAATGTACAAAGGATAGAGCCCATTGTTGAACAAACATAAAAAAGACACAGGCATAAGCGAATGGTTTCTAGGTCTAAAGTCAGAAAGACTATTGCAAGCATTTAAAGGATAATCATTAAAGCCACTCTTCTTCCTTCTGTTGAGCAAAAGAAGAAGGGGAGTTATCAATTTGTGGTCAGTGATGTAATAAGGTTTTGTTTCCATCTTCTCATTCAAGAGCGATTTTCTGATTGGAGAGAGCTGGAAAAGCATCAGGGAAGAGTCACTGAAATGGAAGTAATTGCCGAGATTGTAAGGGATAACGTTAAATGCTTCGAGTGTCGAGGCTCCGAAAGATTAGATCCCCACACTCTGAGTTTGTAAATGAGATTTCTAAGCCTTCATTACCTGTCTTGGCAGTTAATGGTGGAAACAAAGCCGGCAACAGAAAAAAATGAAGTTTCAGCTTTCAAAATAAAGCAGAATTATTTCTTAAACCAAAAGAATGCGTTTACTAGTCATTTCTGGTTAGATTATATAAGTGATTATTTAAAAGATTCCCCATGAGTTCTTAGAAAATGAAGGCAATGATCACTAGAAATAAGTGTAGCCTCCCTAAGAACAAATAACACTTAACTGAGTTTCTCTTTTTAATAGAGCTAGGATTGCCAAGCAGGTGATGCAATATAAATTGGTAATAGACCCAACGTATTCGGAAGTTTGCTTTGCTCACCACTATACCACTAACACGACATAATGCAGTTGGGTTTAAAATAAGCCTCTGGAAAATGTCCCTTCTGTAGTGTATTTATGAACAAGACTAAGACTTTTTTTAATTCTGACTGTGGATACAACTGCTAGGTGAATTCCTAGTTGTTCAAATGATGATTCCCCAAAGGGAGTTGTCGGAGGGGCTGCTGCCAGCTCTGCCCTGGGTTCTGCTCTACTTCCCAGATTGATGGCACTGATGGAACACTCCTGATACGTCCGTATGATATGGAGCAGGGACTGAAGACCAATACCCTGGAAGACACCATCAGGATCCCCAAGGATCGTAACAGGATATAACTGGATGGCTCAGAATAGGGTGGAAGAGAGAGCCCTACACACCGCAGCCGTGAAAAGGGAGCAAGGACTCTCTCTTTTCCTATGACCTGATTACACGTCTGCGGTGTAACATGACTTGTGATTTTCCAAAATCAGATGCAATTACAGATTTCTTTACAAAAATCACATAAAGTCTGGGACGTTAAGTGAATTGTCTTGGCAATTCAACCACATCTCCCCTTTGCAATGTCAATGTCTATACACAGTAGGCATTGAATAAGACTCCATGTTTTAAAATAACATTACCTACCCACAATTTCTTAGCACCTACCCTGTTTCAGGAACTTTTCTCAATGTTTAACTCTATTGTTATACTGAATCTTCTTAGTGCTATTTTATTTAAAAATTTAAAAATCTATTTTAATTGGGATTTAATACATATATCATATCATTCCATAATTCAATCAAGTCAAGTAGAATTGTAAAATTGCTACCAATCAGTTTCCAGTCTTTTTCTATATTTAGTTCAATTTTATAAATGATGAAACAGGCATAGACAGTTGAAGTAATTTGCTAAAAATTGGATGGCTGGTTTTAAATGTTGAGGACAAAAAAACCCTGGATGGCTAATTTCAGAATCTATCATTTTAAGGATTGCACTATATTACATTACAATATATGTAGTATGGTGATGGAAACAAGAGCCAGGTGATATATGGAGTAGGTCAGGGAAAGAAAAACTAGTGAAGGTTAGTTAAAAGCTTTATTTACTGTACAGAGAGAACTAACTGACCCGTGGATGAGGAGTAAAACATTCTTCTTTTGAGTTCAGATTCAAATTCAATTCAGATTCAAGTGATAGGGCTTACAGCTGTAAAATGATATTTTAGCACAATACAGAGGGCTACTTATAGGAAGATTACTTTACAATAAAATGATTTGTTCCTGGCATTAGTCTCTTCTCTATTAGTTAATAATTTCAAGCAGAGGCTTGGGGGGGAAACAAACAAACAAACAAACAAACAAACAAACCACCACCAACAACAACTTGCTGAGGCTGTTTTAGAGGGGATTTGCCATAAATGTAAAACAGATTTCACAATTGATGGTCATTGATGAAATGTCTTCTAATCCCTAATTTCAACAATTCTTAAAAACATAAATCCTCATTTGCAATATGTAGTAGGCAAGTCAGTAAAAACAGTGGGAACGCATGGGCTCCTGTGCGGGTGACCACAGTTCATATCCGAGTTCCCACTATCACTAGAGAGACAGTTTGTGGTACCCTAAGCTTAGATTGATCACTTAACTAACTACATGACTATGACCAAGTGAGTTACCATCTGTATGCTTTGGTTTTTCCATTCATAAAATGGGAATGGCAATATTAAGAGCCATATGTTTTTTATGACAATTGTAATAAGAGTAGTACTTAAACCTGTTAAACATATAGCACCTGACAAAGGTTAGTTAAGTATGGTAGGTCGATTTCCACAAGTTAGTTATTATTTTTTATTATGATTTTCTTGCATGACATTCTTTGGTTTTTAAAATGTGTTAGTGGTAGTACTATCTCAATGAAATATTGGGAGACTAAAGATATTATTATAACAAAAACTCCTAAAATACAGATCAGCACATAGCAAGTGATAAATAAACATCATTATGATTATGATTATGTGAGCATGCTACTTAAATTCTTTAGGTCTGGATTTCATCATGTTACAAAATAATAATCAACCTCTAGTCCTCTTTGTCTCATGCACTTTGCCCAGGTTATCGGGAGAGACCAGTCCCTGGAGGACATCATGCTTGGCGAAGTAGAGGGGCAGCGAAAAAGAATGGTCCTCGGAAGATGGAGTGGCTGAAACAATTGGGCTCAAACATAAGAACAATTGTGAGGATGGTGCAAGATGAGGTGATGTTTTTTGATCTGTTGTGCATAGTCACTATGAGTTGGAATTGACTTAACAACAACAACAACAGCCCTCACTGTCCTAACTCATCTGTCATTTGTCATAGCTTGGTGATTTTCAGGTTACTGTGATACTGGAAGCTATTCCGCCAGTATTTCAAATACCAACCCAACAATGTCACCCCTCAAGAACAGGTTTCAGTGCAGCTTCCAGACTAAGATGAACTAGAAAGAAGAAATAGGTGGTCCGTTTCCAAGAGATTAGCCCCTGCAGGCCTTTTGTATAGCCATGGAATACCGTCTGATAGAGTGCTAGAAGATAAGGCCCTCAGATTGGAACACAGTCAAAACATGACTGAGGAAGAGCTGCTTTCTCAACGCAGAGCTGCCCTGAAGGACCTGGATGGACCTTCACTGCTGATGGGGCATGACGCACATTGAGAAGGAACAGTTGCAACCATCTAGCAATAATTGGAAAATAGAATGAACAAAGTATGAATTGAAGAAAATTAAAAGTTCTCAAAAATGAAATGCATAAAGATTGATATATCAGGCATTAGTAAGCCAAAATGAACTGGCATGGAACATTTTGAATCAGACAGTCATATGGTTTATTATGCTGGGAATGACATGATATTCATCATCAAAAAGAACAATTCAACCCCAGGTGCTATAGCTTTTAGTAGATGAGCACCATCAACCTTTCGACCACATTTGCTTATGCACCCAGCGATCTTGTCAGGAAGGTGAGAACCAAACAATGCCACATTATTAGAACAAACCATTCTTGTACTGAGGTAATATTTAAGTAGAGGCCCAAAGTCCATCTGCTTCCTTGTTACATTTGCATATATATATACATATATTCTTTCTTCTTTGCTCTTTTCTTTTTTTCCCTCCTACTTCACTGTTATGTTTATCCATCGTTCACTTCTCAGTAATCCCTCTCTAATACAATTCAATCGATCAAACATGACCATCAGTCCAGACCCCCCTCCCCCCTTTCAGGGCTAAAGGCTTGTAGCTAAACAAGCAGCCATCTAGCAAAAGAGCAACAAACGGAAGAAGCACACCAGCCTGTGTCATCATGAGGTGTCGACGGGAAGAGGTATCAGGAGTTCGTAAACAAGCAACCAAATCAACGTGAAGGGCCATGGATGTAGTGGAGACCCAAAACCCACCTGTAAGAGAATAGGGCAGTTCCTCACAGAAGGGCCACATGGAATGGATGATAAATTCAGGGAGCAGTATGGCACTGATGAACCACAGAACTATGCTCTAATTTTTTAATATCTCTTCCCCTTACTATTATGGTTTTTATGTATTGCACCTCATTAATCATGTGAGATTTCTGTATGTTCATTTGCATATTTAAGATCATTCGGACATGAAAATCAAGATAGATAAACCCTTCAGAAACAGTAACAGAAAGAATGGTTCCCTGAGGGTACAGGTACTAG